AATACTGAGATCTTTGAACATATTGCACATACTTTAACATACATTTTTTTGACTCTTCTTGATTCTGTTTGTCTGTTTTTCATCTGTAAACATCTTGGAATATATTGATAATGATAACTTTAGTAACAAATTTACAGCCCTTAAGTTATGATAAATACCGTTATCAAACTATTACTTAAAGGCCCATGTATTTGAGCAAACTTTATCATGCCCCAGTACTGATATACTATTTAAACGACTCTTGAGGTCGAGTTATGTCTGTTGAGTTCTGTCTACATCTGATTATGTGTGTTTTTGTTAGCATTTCTTTACTGTTTTAATGAGCTCTGGTCTCTAATAGTGAGAAAACGCTTATAAACTCTATTGTGGTAAATAAATACGATGCTCGGAATCCATAAGGTAACTGAGAAATTATTTTGGTCAGCCACTGCCTACCGCTTAAAATGAAGTAGTTCTGTTTACAACCTAGATTTCCTTCAGCAAAATAAAATACACCATTAATCCACACTGAGCCCATTATAGTTAGGAAATAAAAATATGCAAATAATGTTATCCCAGATCTAGATGGTTGAAGGACTTTCCCCTAATAGGATTTCAGTGACATGTTGTTTTGAACCAGGGGGGGACTCAGGTTGTGGCCAGATAAACTAGATTGTCCTCCTCCATGTGCCGTTATTTTAGGACATCTTTGAAGTTCAACACATTTAGCCCAACTGGTTCAAAAGGATTAGGAACTGGAATTAGATTTGCAAAAGTTCATCTTCAAAGCACTTTCTTTGTACATGTTTTCTTTTTAGTAGTGGGGAGGTTCTGTGCTACTATATTATCTTGACTGACTGAAGTAACATTTAATGATTTAACAGAAATGTGTGAAATGAATTAAATGTAAAAGGGTTAAAGGTGCATTGTGTAACTTTTCTCGTGGAGGTGCCGTCACGTACTTGTTGTTATGGATATGTCGTATGCTCTGCCTGACATTAAACATATCTACCTTACATTTATTCAAGTACAGGTGTTTTTTTAGCTAAAAATACTTAAAACTGGCATTCTGACTGTGAGTGGATCGCCAGAGATCTGACCTGATCTGACTTAGTCTGGTTGGGTCTAGATAGAAAGGTTTAATACCATATTCTGAAACATTCCAGACAAAGTAATAACATTTCCATGAAGAAAAGCATTTGACAGACCCTCCACCAGAAAAGTTACACAGTACACCTTTAAGTTTAATTCTGGTCATGCAAACAGATAAATTTTTTTCAGCGACTGTGAAATAAAGCAGCCCATTGGTCACCTGTCATTTAGAAATAAAGACAAAATGATCTCACCTCAGATGAACAGAGTTTAGTGTTTTGCTCATTGATTCTGCAGAAACCTGACATGTTTTTTAGTCCTCTGTGATACTTTTTTCCTTTGTTTTCCAATATGAACGGACCATGCGAGTCCCTGACTGGCTATTCCACCTGTCAATCATGCCAATTTGAAAATACAAGAGATTCGCCAGTGACCAGACTCACATCTTTGTAAAGTATTGAAGAAGTGTGTATTCAGGATCAGAGGCAAACTTTGCGAACCTTTCAATTTACTGGAGAAATATGGGGTTATTGAGGACACACACTTCTTAAACCTTCACTCACCCTCTCAGTCCACATTTTTTAGAAGTTGGAAAAGTGGAACTAAGTCTCTTCCTAATAAGTGTAAAAGCCCTGCCTGGTAAATCCAGACTATGTCTTTGTGTTTTTTATACAGATTTATATCAGTCTGGTCATCACGCACCTCGTCACACGTCAAGCCCAGTCAAATGTGATCATATAATCAGATTTATTTTTATTTTTTTCAGTGACTCACGTAAAACAAAGGAGCTTATTGGTCATATGTACAAATAAAATCACTTTTCTCATACCTCAGATTAACAAAGTCTGGTGCTTTGTTCATTGATTCTGCAGAAATCCACCCTATTTTTCCTTTATTTTATCTAATACACACAGACCATTGGCTAATCCACCTGTCAGTTTGGGGAAATTTGGGGTCATTGAGGACAGGCACTTCTTAAACCTTCACATACTCTCCAACTAAAGTGGAACTAAATCCCTTCCTGATATGTGTAAAAGCCAGGCTACTGCCATAAGCTGCTTTTTATCACTAAACTCAGCACAGCAAAGCCAACAAGTCAAATCAAATAAATCTAATCATGAACCCAAATTATTATTATTATAATACATATTGTAAGTACTAATAGATGTTTATAGGATATTATGTGTGCAGCTTCCAGACATTTTCTTTGGCAACTAATACACTCAGAAATAGTGTACAATTTACAGAAGTAGTCCTCCTGGCCGACATATAACAAAATCTGACATAAGTAGAGCACTCTCTTGTACTGTGATTGTGTAATATGATGTACAAATGACAGTTGGAAAAGTAGAGCAGATAATGTTCTTAACCCAGTTTTTAAAAGCACCATCATTCATAGTCATCCAACAAATATGTGTGTCCTCAGATGTACAGTATATATTTTCAAACAAAGACATTTTTACCACTAATCAAAGTACTTGTGTTGGTGGTGGAAGAATGTAATTTTGTTAAGGGTAAAGTACAGGTATTGGAGCAAATACTAAATATTCAAGTAAAAGTATCACATAAAAAATGTACTTAAGTAACAGTATTAAAATATTTGTATAAAAATGTAAAGAGTAAGAGTATTATGCACGTTTTTTGAAATCTAATAAAGCTTCAAATGTATTGATTTTGATAAAGATCTGTGCTGAATTTTATTAAACAGAAGTAATTTTTTCCCCTAGAAATCAATAATGTCGATGTTCAATGTCATGTTTAATAGTCTTGATTCTTACACTTTCTCTCTGTTGTTAATGTTTACTCATCTCAGCCATGTCACTTTAGTCGGTAACATTTTATGGTTGGAAAATGCATTTTGATGAGCTCATCTTAAACCAGGTCAGAGCATAGGCTTAGACTGAGGGCTGTGTGGTCAGAGACAGTCTGGGTCAGCTGCAGTGATGAAGACAATGCACACTCCTGTTTTCAGATAATCGAATAATGGAAAATGATTCAGGGAACTATGTGCTGACTTCAGACCCTGATGAAATAGTGTCTCTCAAGGAAACTAAGCTTGAAAGAGCTGTACAGACTGCACCAGGGCAAAGTATAAATATAAAGGAGGTAAAGAACATAGTATTAACAGTGCTATTGACGTGAAAAACTGCAGTACAAGGTGTGAAATCATTAAGTAAATGTTGTAAATGCCATAGAGTAAAACCATATTATAATTGTTTTCACTTCTCATTTACCTTCTCTTAGTTGTATTTAGAGTGCATGTTTGGTTAGTCTTTATCCTCCTCTATTCAAGACGTCATTGCTCTGATCAACCACCATTTTCACTGCGTAGGCCCACTGCTCTGTGCTTACATTTCATTTTTTTAATCAGTGATCCACATAGGATTCAGCACTCAGCAGTGTTATATAGTAATTTTGGGTTGAGTTTCCCCCACCAATTTTGCATCCTGGAAGTCAGTGAACTTGTTTCTTTTTCTGAGGCATTTTCTATCAATATTGCCACTTAAGATGTTCAAAATGTACAGTTATGATCCACTGGTGTCACAGATTATAACTATACTGCAATCAAAATGCTATATACTGCAGTGCCCAAGGGGAGCTAATGTTGCTGTACACGTCATAATAACAAAAAGTCGCACAGTTGTTGGCACCTCTGATCACACTTTTTTTCTCCTTTGTTCCAAAGTGACAATGCAACATTGCCAAATCTTATGCATCTCACCGATTAAGAAAATAAAACTGAAGAACAAATGAGTACAGAGCGGCGGGTGTGTACCAGTGGTGGTGCAAATGGGCTGATCGGAGCAATAACGTCTTGAATCAAAGAGAATAACGATTACTCAAACATGATTGAATCGCACTAAATACAACTATGAGAGAATCAATGAGAATGGGAAACATCTATTACTTATTTCAAAACTCTAAAAAGTAGATTTTCCGTAATAGGTTCGCTTTAAGTGTTTAACTGCTTTTGGAAAATCAAAACACAGCCTGAAAAGTTTAAATCATTTTTAAGTTTTAACAGGGTACAGTCTAGACAAGAACTGTCCTTATGTTGTCACAAACTTGGTTTTGAAATTAGGGAACAGACTTGCAATTCAATTCAAGACCACAATGATAATGCAAAACAGACTCGAATGTTTAAACCAAAATAATAGTACTTTCTTTATATTGCCTTATTATGTGGTTTTACACTTGTTTTCATATAGAGCTCTTTATTCTAAAACTATTCAGGACATCCTTTTTCAAAAAACCTGTTCAAAAGGTCTAGTAATAATAGTATTTGTATTGATTATTATCAGGGTGTCAATACTTTGTGAGGTTTTTAATTCCTGTTAATGGTGTACAGTATTTAGGGTGTGTTTTAATAAAACATTATGTCATAGATGAGCACATTTTTACTGGGAGAGACTTAGTGTTTCATAATGTGTTCTTGACTTCTCATGGCCTGTTTTAGTCACAAGTTAACATTGTAAATAGTTTCTTTTTCACTGAGCTGTGTCTGTAAAGCACAAGCACTTCAAAACAATAATATAAAAAAAATGCCCTTTGACCATGTACCATAGCATATAAAACTAGATAGTTTTCTGTTTTATAAGATATCAGTAAAATTCCATTCTCTCACATTCGATATATAAACGCAAAATAAATTTTTGTTAGGAAGCAATATTTATACAGAAATGCAATTTTGGGATGCTAGATGTATATCCTGCCTTGTGTGTTCCAAAGTAAGAATTAAGTGAATACAAGTAAAATTACACAGTGCAGCTTTTAATAACAGTTATTCTTTCATGTGTTTCAATGCGCAAGGGATTATGGTCTATGTAGTCCCCTATGTGTTTATTCCATCTAAGTTTCTTGCAAAAATGGTTTCATATTGAGTCATGAGTGGTAGGTTTTGATTATTTTCCTCATTGTTGTTTTTCCAGGATGCCCGTCAGAAGTTCCGCTCGGTGCTGGTGGAGGCTACAGTGAAGTTGGATGATTTGGTGAAAAAGATCGGAAAAGCTGTGGAGGAGTCCAAGCCGTACTGGGAGTCTCGCAGACTTGCCAGACAGGTACCGACCACACCATAACACCAAGCAACACAGCGCCTGTCTGGTTGAATTCTTACTATGAGTGGGCTTCCCTCACTAAGAACCTCACCTGTAACATAGGGTTAAGATGTCACCCGTTCGTAGTCAGGATAACCCATTCTGAAGTACGATATGTTGCTTAAACTTAAAATTAGACAATCAATTTTACAAAGAATTATCCCCCAAAAAATTTAATGTACAATATTGTTAAAATTGCCTGTAATAAATAAATAGCAGACACTTTAGTAATTACTTTATTTTTGCACTGAGTCCTAGAAGTTATTCATTCAACCTTCTGTAGCTCAAATCTTATCACATTGCTATAAAATAACAAAACATTTCCCACTTGTGCAAAGAAAAGGCACACATGATAAATTATTGGTCTGTCCTGTATCGAACGATAAGTCCATATAGGAATTATCGTGAGAGGCCTACTCGCTAGTCTCCACTGAGATGGATACGTCACGGGTCTTTCTGTGGGACCTTCACACAAGCAAAAACATCTCCATTAGAGACAATCAGGTCCACACACTCAAACCAGTACCATCAACTGAAACTGAAACATCTTGACTGTAAAAACAGTGTCCGGATTAATACAACTGAAACCTTCCCTACATTACATAGTGCTCCTTCAAGTGTTTTCTTCTTAAAATGATTATTCTGATGATGATATACAGACAATACCAGTAAATTTATGCTTGTTAATGTTGTGGCTCATTTGTAATTCATGCCAAAGCGTTTTATTCATTTTAGCTTTGAGTATCTTTGCTGAAATTGCTGTAACTTGCCTTCCGCATCCACCTCCGTCACCTCAGCTGTTTCTGATAAAAATGGACTCATTTGGTTTCCTGTTTCATTAGCAGTCTTAAACCTACAACTATTCAAGCCTGTCTCAGTTCCTCCTGTGTTCTGGGATAAATAAAGGGGAAGCAGCCACCTGTGTGTCGAGATAAAAGTGAGCTGGCAGCTGTTGCCATAGGGGGACATGGCAGGGTGATTAAAGCTGTTTGGAGGTTGCTTTGTGAGGAAAAATACAGATATGAATTTTGTTGTACTTTTGGAACTTGAGAGAAATTACGTTGAGGTGACTGCAGTAGGACTTCCCCTTTAAAGCTTGCAAAACAAAGGCTCCATTGAATAATAATTTCCCATTATGGTACAGTAATGTTTAAGTTGAAATAATGGGTTTTTTGTGTTGTAAAATCTCCAGCATATGAATTATATAGCTCATATTTAGCGAATGATCATTTGTTTTAGTCTCCTGTTGTTTTTATAATTTCTTACACTGTGCTTTTCATTACTTCATAAAATTGTAACCTTACGTCTTTTTTGTTTCTCTTCTGGTCCCAGTGAAAACTGTAATTATTAGCAACCTTTTACAACCTGTGGTGGCTGTATGGTGATAGGAAACGCTCTGTCACTGATACGATATATATATATATATGTTGAACCTTGTGATTTTACAGGAACTGAAAAAGGAAAATACTGTGGTTTCCTTATACGCCTGTATGTGTAGATTAGATTACAGCCTACATATTGGACTTCCTTTTACACGGTTTACAGTCATCAGACATTAAAACTTTACCTTTTAAACAACTGCATATTAATTGCATTGTATTGCATTTGTTTTTATTGTCAGTATTTTGTATTTGTTTGTTTTGTTTGTATTCAAAGGGCTCTCCCAGTATAAATGAAATATATAAAATCTAAAAAGGCATGCTACATTTATTGCCCATGATGATAAACTTTCCATAACCCATTGTGAGTCATTCCCCCCGACTGACGGCAGGGCATCTGAGGTTTATTTAACACCACATTTTTCCTGTCTTTTCTGCTAAAAAATATCACAACAATCCACTGATGCTGAAAAATTAGAACTCCAACTGAATCTGAGTGACACACGGTATAATTACGCCAGTTGGATGCTGGTGTAGGTTGTCTGATGAGTTAACATTAAAGGTGCATTGTGTAACATTTCTGGTGGAGAGATATGTCATTGCTCTGACTGGAATGTTCCACAATATGACATTAAACAGCTCTGCCTTTATGTTGTTTTTAATTACAGGGGGTTTTGCAGCTCAAAAATACCAATAAAAACAGGCATTCTGGCTATGAGCAAGGTTTCCTCTCCACAGATCTGACCTGTAACTTGGCCTGATTTGATCTCCATGAAGATAGAAAGGTTTAATACCATACTGTGAAACATTCCGGTTAAAGCAATAACATGCAATAAATGGAGAAAAGCCTTTGAAAAGTTACACAATGCACCTTTAAATGTGATTCCTTTGTGCATGCTGCACTTGTTGTTACTGCTTTGTGTATACTGGGCGTAACTTGACCTTGTGCTTGTATCCATGGAGATAAGTTTAATGCCAGTACTTGCCATTTCAATAGAATATCCATGACTCATTCTTTTTTCCTGGGAATTAAATGAAATTAGGGATGCACCGTTCCAATTCTGGTATTGGTGCCGATACTGAAAAATTTGCTGGATCAAAAATTTGCTTCTAAATATCGGTTCAGTCGATATATACATTGATATTAAGATGATAAGATAATAAGATAAGACTATTTACTGGTCATAATTGGCCTACAAATTAAATTTTTTTAAATTTATTTTTAATATATACAGAGCTGTTTTGTATTTCCTTGAAGGACACATAAGAGTTACATAACACATTTGGATCAGTTCTGTTATTTTATTTTAGTTTTAAGGAAATAAATGCTTTTTTCAGTTTCTTCCCTGGTATACTTAAAGCTGCAGTAACAGAATCGGCATCGGAGCTGAAAAACCTTGATAGACTCAGATTTTAACAGACTTTATTGATCCAGAAGTGAAATTATTTGGACACTGTAGCTCACTCATCACAATATATTAAAATAACAAAGAGTAAAACATATAAATGCTAATAGTCAATTCTAAATAAGTAGCGAAAAAGATAGCAAGAGACAGGTGTCAAATAAGGCGTAATTATATAAATGTATATGTACAATAGAAAAATAAGTAATAAAAAAAATATAAAATCAGCTATAAATCAGCTATATACAGATTGGTGCATGCCTAAATGAAATTAAGCTTAACTGCCTCTTGTCAGTGTCACTTTGTTTACTTCCTTATCTTAAAACTGTCACTGAATGTGTTGATATCATCTGCCCTTTACTTGCATGCTCATAGTTGCAATCTTTTGACCCAATTTCCTTGTTTTTCTGTAAGTTTGTGCTTCGTCAGGACAACATATTTCGTCTTGCTCTTCTGTAAGTCCCTATGGCAACAATAACGATTAAACTAGCATTGTTCTTTTGTGATACGCTAATCACACGGCTGTCTTTCTGTCATTGCTCTTCTTTGTGTTCGCCTTATCAGATGTGTGCAGCAGCCTGGATTTACCCGCTGTGCTCTGTGGGAAACTCTTTGGAGAAATGGAGATATAAATTGTTTTTATCGCCAACGCCACAGTCAACACGGCGAGCAGCTAAATCTGGTTTATGTAGAGGAAGTAGAGGTTTTAGTGTTGGGTATAGAAGATAGGCATGGCCCCTGTTGTGAAAAAGATGTAGTTTAGTTGGTTGCTAACATTAATTCAAATAAACCATAAACTAGGTATTCGTCAGTAAATCAAGTTACTTTAGATAAAATAAAACAATTGTGGCGGTAACACTTCAGCTGGTAGTGTGGTTACCGTTGTGCTACTGAGCATGACACTCTATATTACCTGTATGAAGCCTATGTGTAATTCACTGTAGCTATTGCTGGTTAAATACAGGTGGGGGTTAGTTAAAATAAATATTGTTCAAATGCAGCCTTTTCTTTATTTACCTTTTTGGATATTTTTTTTTCAAACAATCTGTACTCCCCTCTTAAAATTATGACCTCACATTTTAGAATTTCTTCTAGTAGGCTATGGCACCTAGCTTGATTCAGACGCCATTTTTACTTCGTGGAAACCGTCTGCATTAGGATTTGTTCGCTCGACAGTAGGCGGGTACTCTTTTTTTTTTTTTTTTTTCTCTGCTATTCAGTTGTGATGTATGTAATGCTCTGCTAACGGGGCTAACTGGTATATTAAACTTTTCCCAAATCCCGTAGGAAGAAGGGCAATAACGTCTTTCCCCTTGATAAAATTCACCTAACATTCTCTTTGACATGCTCTCTCTTTAAATTCTTGATCTTGGGAATTGTTACCAACACAGAATGCATGGCTCTTCCACGATTGGCTGGTGCCTGAACTCGCACTTCCGGGGTTCTAGCAAACTGTCTAGTGTATTCCGATTCCTGACCTAGTCGCTGGAAGGAAATTAAATAAAGCAGAGGCAATAGGTGGCGCCGTCCTGGCTATATGTTCCCAGACTCACAGCTCAAACTTTTATTACTCAAATTTATGTTAATTGAGTCTATAATTGTTCTCACTGTTCATTACATAACTTTGCATTTAAAGGGAAAAGAAGTACTGATTGTGATGCCAATGTAATTTCAATGTGATGTGAAGTATTTATAAACCATCATCCACCTTCCTAATTTGTGGTAATGTTATGGGACAGCAAGCTAATTAGTGATGCCCTGGCTTTCCCACTCCCCAGACACTTCCTCAAGTTCTCCAAGGAAATACGCCAACCACAAAAGTTGGCCTAGTAATTTGTCAGGCCCTTCAAGATTACTGAGAAACTTCAGTGTGTAAGTTAAAGTGTTGAACAGAAGTTTCCTGCAAAATTACAGGACCTATAGTACTATGCATATATGCAGATCTACTATATATTTTTTCTTCTTCTCATTTACCCACTTGAAGTTGTATTCGTGCATGTTAGAGTAATCTTTCTTCTGTATTTTTCTGACTATTAAAATGTTAAATTGTGGTTGTTTTGTTTTTGATGCATTGAGTACCCCCTGTTCTTGTTTTTCGTGCCAAGTCACTTCCTCTTTAGAGCGCTATCACAACACAAATCATCAACACAAACGTGTGTTGCACTAATGAAACTTCTGCTCA